AAAGGCATGATTAAGAAACCTTGTTATTCAGTTTAGTTTTAGTTTTCGTTTTGAGAGTTTATGTTTTTACAGTTTAAAGATTCAATTGCAATTTACGTTTTCTCTCTTCTACTCTTTTGTTCTTCTTTATTTTCTCAATTTCCATTATGGTTTTCTACTTAACCATGCTAGGCTAAGTGTTCTTTAATCAATCCAAGAATTAAGGATTTCGCGGTTGAATCTGGAGGACCTGCGCTTTATCTTGATCCAAATCGTTTCTTTTCCTTCAACTCAGATTCGATTTCTACGATTGCAGCTAAGGTAAGTGATTGAATGTTAGATTTAATATTTAGGTTGATTAACCCAATGATTTTAAGTCAAACGGGTTGATACTCCGCGATTGCGCGAGTAGATACGCCGTATTGATCAAACGCTAGGCGATCATCTAGAGAGGGGTTCCTAAGCAATTGCAGGGATTCCGAATTGCTTAGGGTCAACCACGATTTGGTAATCCTTTGTCCAATGATGGATATCTTGGAATCCTAATTCTTGGGTTGACTGCTTTTAATTGATAATTTTAGTTTTTAAATCCTTATTTTTACTTTCTATTTTTTTGGAAATATTCCAATCGGTTCATTGCTTCGCAACAAATCCGATTCGGGGCGGGTCCAGGATTAAGGCTTTAAACCCCTCCCAAAGGTGGTACTGGGGAGATTCGAACACAAGCTCTCACCCCCACCTGCTTAACTCCCATGCGCCAACTAAGCTACCACAATTTGGTGTTTTTACTTTCTATTTTTAATCAAACAAATCCCCTTTTTTACTTCTTGTTTTTAATTGATCGATTAAGATCCTTGCAAATTCCTTGAAAGACGATTCAAGTTGCCCACTTTATTACAAATCTTATTTCTACAAACCTGATTAATTTGAGTGAGTTCGACAGCTCACATCACTTCCCCCCATAAATTTTGTGGTAAATCGGACGTGATTAACATAACGTTCATCATTTCTTTCAATGTTTGATTTTCTCTTTCTGCAATCCCATTTGATTGCGGTGAATATGGAGCTGTTGTCGAGTGTATAATACCAGACTTTATGCAGAATTCCTCGAAGGGGCCATCGTATTCTCCCCTAGAATCGCTCCTTACTATTTTAATTTTCTTGTTAAGTTGATTTTCAACTTCACTTTTATATTGCTTAAAAGCAACAATAGATTCATCTTTACTATTAAGTAAATACGCATAACAATATCTACTCCAATCATCAATAAAAGTAATAAAGTATTTCTTATTACCCCTAGATGGTACATATTTCATGTCACATATATCAGTATGTATTAAATCTAACAACTCGGTTGATCTTTCAATCGATTTAAAAGGTAATTTCGAAAATTTTGATTCAACACATACTTGACACTTATTATTTATACATTCAAATTTAGGAAGTAAATCTAAATGAATTAAATTCTTAATTGATTTTAAATTAATGTGTCATAATCTATTATGCCATAAATTAGAAGACTCAAGCAAGTAAACAAAAGTAGTAGTATTATTAATATTATTGGTATTGTTTACAGTCATCATATTCAGTTTGAAAAGGCCCTCACTAAGGTAACCCTTTCCTACATACACATCATTCTTAGTAAGTACAAACTTATCAAAAATAAATACAAGTTTAAAGCCATTATTGCTTAACAAAGATCCAGAAACTAGGTTATTGCGAATATCAGGCACATGGAGCACATCATTGAATGTCACTATCTTGCCAAATGTCATCTTCAAAGCCACTTTTCCCACACCTTCAACTTTGAAGTAGATGAATTACTCATATAAAGCTTCTAATCATTATTAGTAGGAGTATAGGAGGAGAACATCCATTTGTTTGAACAGACATGTCTGGTGGCACCAGTGTCCACCCACCATTCCTTAGTATCTCCCACTCGATTGCACTCCATCACCACCACTGCTAGATTCAATTTTTCAAGCTTATCAGTAATATCAACCATGTTGACTTGGATGGTCTTCTTCGTCTTATTGAATATTTTTATGGCTTCCTATGATCTTTCTTTTGTTCCTTCTTGTAGTCCCTTACACGGTGGCCAGAATTCCCACAATTGTAACAATTGCCTTTGAAGTTTTTGCCTTTTCCTTGCTTAGCATTTTCATCTTCAGAATATTTTCTCTTCTTTGACCTTGATCCCTCTTCAACAACATTATCCTTAGAGACCATAGGATTGTTGCCATTCCTCTTATCAGAAATCTTGTTATCTTCCTCTATCCTCAATCCCATAATCAGATCTTCAAGTGACAATTCCTTGCGCTTATGCTTGAGATAATTCATGAAATCTTTCTAGAAATCTGGTAATTTCTCTATGAAGGCAGCAACTTGGAAAGACTCACTAAGAGACATTCCTTCTGCATGAATTTCATGCACAATCAGTTGAAGTTCTTAAACTTGATTCACAACAGATTTGGACTCTTGCATCTTGAAGTCCTAGAATCTGCCAACTATGAAGTTTTTTAAGGCAGCATCCTCGGTTTTATACTTCTTGTCCAAACTATCCCAAAGTTCCTTACTAGTCTTCAAGGTACTGTACACATTATACAATGTGTTGTCTAGACCATTGAGAATGTAATTTCGGCAAAGGAAGTCAAAATGCTTCTAAGCATCAATGGCAGCAACCTTTTCCTTGTCAGGCTGTTCTCCCTCATCCAATTTAGGAGCATATTCCTTGAGGAAATGTTCCAGACTCAGAGTTGTCAAATAGAACAACATCTTATGTTGCCAACGCTTGAAATTTGTCCCATTGAGTTTTTCAGGTTTGTCAGCATGCCTTGGAACAAAAGCAGTAAAATTGGCAGAGTTTGTACTTGCACTTGCCATTTCTGTTACACAAACAGAAACAGAAATTAATCACACAGATTAATACAGTAATCACACAGTAAATAAAAATAGTATATAAATCATAAAAAACAGAATATACTGATCTCAGGTTCAAAACCAAATTGTCTTAAGATTGTTATTAGGAAGACAATGGGTAATATTAAATCACTAAGAGGTTTGAACCCATATATAGAACAGAAGAGAATAATGATCAGAATTATCAAACACAGTGCAATAAGGAAATTAGAACAGACTTACAGTATGTCAGATAATGGAGCAGAATGATCAATGTATGCAGAATAGTGTAGGAATGAATCCGAGCCCACAAAATATGTCTCCTTAAGACAATTTATCCTCTCATTGCATCTGAAGAATGGTGGCACTACCAGTCAACAGCCCGAACGAAACACAACAGGTTTCCATAGGAGTTATATCAGAACTATGAAAGGAGAATGCAAAACCGGATGAAGGAAAAAATCTGGCAGAGTATCAGTGGAGAAAATCAGATAAAATTTATGAACGAGTTAGGGTCTATATATAGATACTGACCAATCAAGATGAACCATCGCCGGCGGAGAACCGCCGTGACTGACGGCTGCGAACGGGTACGACCGGTGACCGGTTCGGTTAACATGTACAACCGGTGGCCGGTTCAGTGAACAGGTACAATCGGTGACCAGTTCGCGAAAGGTAAGAACCGGTTCGGCTCAAAACGTTCAAAAAACTGGCAGGAAGAAACATTTGGGTTGAAGAATCTGGAGGGAAGCAACGGATAGGCACAGGGGTATTTTGAACAAAAAAAATTTAAAAAAAAATTAATAAAAAATTAATTTTATTTTACACACGAACCGATCCGATCTGAGCCGGCCAGACAGATAGCCGGGGCAGCGCGCGCGTGGTGTACCAAAGGCCACCTAGCTCCTCTCTCCTCCACAAAAGTGTAGTGCTCCAAGGGGCAATTTAGAAGTGTGAGTGGGAGCTTATAAACTCTTTCACCTCCTACTAGTTGTCCAATGTGGGACTTCTTAAAACTCACACACCCTTCAACTTCCCTATTTTCTTTTCTTCCTTAACTCACTTCTTATTCATAACAATAGATTGTTTATACAAATTCCACAGAATCCCAAGCTGAGCAAGCAGATATCACCCGAGAAATGAAGAAGAGTGCTACACTGGCGAAGCCTTTTTCTACGTGTTAGTGTAAGTTTTAGTACTTTATAAAAGGATTAAGTGTCTGCGCTTTTAAAGGACATAAATTGTGTCCTCTTAAAAATACAAGTTGTGTCCTTCTAATTTTTAACCTATGCCTAACTAGTAAGACATAGTTATAATATAAAAATTTATTTTTTTCTCTTTCCATGTTAGCTGAAATGATTGAGTAGAGAGAATTTTTTTTTTTTATATTATAATTATATCTTACCAGTAAGACATAGTGTTAAACAATAAAACGATACAAGGTTGTGTCCTTTAAAAGCATAAACTTTTTTTCCTTTATAAAAGGATCTTTTTTTTATAAGTAAAGTACTTTTTGGGTCCTCAACAAAAATCATAAGGGCTATTTTAATTCCTTAGAAAAAAAAAATCGACTTGTGGTCTCTTTAAAATTCAAAATAGATCCAATTAGTCGAAATTGTGGTCCTTTTGAAATTCAAAGAATATCCACTTTTGTTTCTTAAAAGAATTAACATGGGATCTATTTTAAATTTCGGAAAGACCACGAGCAGATTTTTTTTTCTTCTAAAAAATGAAATTGGGCTCCATAATATTTGTTGAATATCTAAAAGATACTGTACTCTTCTCTTACTTTACACACAGTCTTGATATATATTAATATTTGCACTCCAGTCCCAATTAATCATTTGTTGCTCTCATTAAAGGGCTTTTTCCCCCGATATATGTGCAGCAAGCTTTGTATTCACTTGCTACGGATCTGCGTAAGGTAACATAATTTATATAGGGTACCCAATCAATAAACTAATATTCGTGATTCAAAATCGGGGGAAATGAACAAGTCCAACTTTCAAGCTTCCTTTAATTAGTACATCGAATGAGAAATATTTGACAGCTTTTCAAATAATTTTCATCACATCATTTCCGCAAAATTATGACCAAGGAAGAAAAAAGAAAAAGTCACTAATTCTATATCGAGGCCACAATTAATTGATATATATATATATATAATCAATCAGTGTACAAAATTCAATTGTAGCTCGCTATTCTAAAACTCAATGCATAAACTATCTAGCAGAAACACCCGCCTCTACCTTTTCTTTTTCCTTCCCTAAACCTATGAATCTGCATGGTGAAAACCTAACCTTGTATTCCGAAATGGTTTCAAGCTTAGGTGACCAAACCTGGTCCTTAGACCTCACAAGCTGTTGATAGTGCTTTTTCAACTCAGGAGTGCTGCAAAGGAAGCTATCATTGCTATGGCAACCTGGTCCTTTATCTCCATTAATGAGCCTTGTTATAAACTCTGGCGTGACCTTTATCAACACCCTTCCGTTAGAACCTTTCAAGTACTCAAAAGGGCACTCCCCAAATTTGATAGTGGACTTGTTACTCCTATTATGGTGTGACCCCAATGACAAGAGTGAAGATGCAGAGAGGGTTTTGCATGAAAATCGATCAATGGGGAGAACAAAATAGTCTTGCCCTGGCATGAGTTCATCGTCTATGGCTAAAGATGGAATGGGGTGTCCAATGAAGAAGGAATCTGCATGGCAAACCATCTTGTCCGGGAACTCGAACATGATCTCGCCGGCAATGTGCTTACCCTTGAGGGATCTTGTGCTACCTTCCCAGAAGATAAGCTTAACCGAGGATGATGACGACGACGATAATAACGATGATGAATTTTTGTTTTGTTGAAAGCATGGTGTCACTACTGCATTTCCCATTGAAGAAAATTAAAGAGAGAAAGAGATCTTTGAGATAGAGGTATCTTTTGTGTTTGTTATTGGGTAGAGAGGGAATAAAAATGGAGGTTGTATATAGGGATTATATATGATGAAAGATATTGACTTGAATAAAATCCTAGGGTGGTTGTTTTTTTGTGTAAGGTATGAAAGGGTCGGTGTGGTCTGGTCAGCCATGCCGGCTTTGAACATTAACTTTTTGTTATCTCTATATATTGGGACACTTATGATCTAGACTTGCAAAAAAACTATTCATCACAAAGCTAACCCTTGACCTTGTACTATTATATTCAAACTTAATAAATTCGAATATGCTCAAATTTTTCTTCAATGTTCACCGTTAGGATTGTCCTACAATCGATGAATCTAGACATTTAATTATGGCCACAAAAAATTTTTTTTTTTGGTGAGCCACATTATTGTTTTTGAATCGAAGGTTCTAAATGAAGAAAAAACAAAGCATTCTCAATCATGGAATTACCCACGTATATTTAGCTTCTAGATTTACTTAATTAATACAATTGTATTTAGTGCCTTGTCAATTTGAATTATTATATTTTGATTAAGATAAAAAATGAATAAATAGAAATATTTGAAATCAATTGTAACTGTATGATGAGAAATTGATAAGTCTTTGTAGCAAATTATAACCGCTAGAAGTAAGTATATTCATAATTTCTTCTTTGATATATATAATGTTGTAGTAGATAATTTTATCTCCTAAATACACATAAAAGTGTGTGGGACGCCCAGTATTTTTATTTTCTCTTTCTTTTCTTCACATGAGCTCCACTTGTTTTTTTGTATGTGTATGTAGGGCTGGCAATATGAGCCAGCCCGCCCCGGCCCGCCACTAGCCCGCCCAAAATGGGCTGGCCCGCCCCGGCCCGTTTTGACAAAATGGGTTGAAAGGAGTAATCCGGCCCGTTTTATGAGTGAGCTGGCGGGCTACGGGCCAGCCCGCCTAAAATAAAAAAAATATAAAAATAAAATACAAAAAATTAAATTCTGCATAAAATCACATAAAAAAATCTGCATAAAAGCATACAAAAATCTGCATAAAATCCTAATGTGCTTATGAAACCAAGAAGATCAGTGTTTAATAATCTGCATATAAATATGCATCTTTCATTCCAAAAATAATAAAAAAAGCCACTTGCATGCAGAGAAATCTAAGATACGGAGCTACATAAGAATTGGGTAACCTAAAAAAAAAAAAAAAAGGACTTGGCGGGCTGACCCATATGGGCTGGCGGGTTTGGCAGAGCGGGTTTGGCGGGCTGGTGGGTTGAAAAACTCAACCCAGCCCGCCCCATTTGGCAGGCAGGGCGGGCCAGCCCGGCGGGCTCAGCCCATTTTGCCGGCCCTATGTGTATGTGTAAAAGATAAATTTATCTCTTTTTTTTTGGAGTTACCCAACTCTAATTATCTCTTTGAGACGAGTTGGCTCCCTCCGGTATCCCCACGAGCTTCGACTCTTTGAGCCGGCTATGGGACTAATCCGGAGTGTGGGGGAATAGTGATGGCTAAAGGTTCAGCCCCTCCCCAAGAATGCATTCAGCGGGAATCGAACACATATCCAACCCCACTATCTCTTATAATATAAGAAACATTATATATATATATATATATATATATATATATATATATATATATATATATATATATATATATATACACGCGCGAAAATAAATTATAGAGTAAACACCCTTTTTAGTCCCTGTCAATATCTACGAAGTCCTTTTCAGTCCCTGACAATAAAAAAAGACCAAATTGGTCCCTGAAAGTTCAAGAAAAGGGCCACTCTACATATTTGGGAGTTGACATAAGGACTAACATGGCCCCCTTTTTTTGTGATTTCAGGGACCAATTTGGTCCTTTTTTATTGCCAGGGACTAAAAAGGACTTCGTAGATATTGACAGGGACTAAAAAGGGTGTTTACTCTAAATTATAATGTCATTTTGGGATAAATAAAATTGGATACCAAAATGTACAATTCTCTTTATCACAATATAGATGTATAATATAAGGATCAAATTAACGCTCAACGGTCCACATATTAAAATAAAAAAATAATATGATAGTGATTGAATTAAATTACAAGTATCTGAGAAATTTAAAAATGTTATAAACAGATGATAAATGTGTATAGTTAGTTATATTGAACGTGTAATAAAATTCTTATCCAGATTTATATTTTATATTAATCTTTAAGTTTATGAATTTTGTTATTATTTTTTGGTACAGAAATATAAATTTTGTTTGACTTATTTTATGGTAAACATAAGATCAAACTACATCTTTTAATGGAAATAAATCTTTTCATATTAAAATTTTACATGACTTAGTAATGTAATGTTTTTGAGTTTATCTCTCTTCGTTAATGATATATTAATAAAGAGAGATAACAGAAAAATTTTATATTACCAAATTATGTGAAATTTTAATGAGAGAATTCACTCTTATCTTTTTATACATTCATCCTAAACATATCATGTGAATGATTTTATTGTATTTTTTATATGCAACATGCACAGATTAAATCATCTAATGCAGAAACACTTATCCAACAAATTTAATTAATTAGCTCCACTAAGTTCATTTTCGTAATCAAAAACACGTTTCTTGAATTAACGACCATATAATTACTCTACTAATTTTGTTTTCGACGAGGAATTATTCTAATAATTATATCAGTCTCTAATTTTGAATATGTTGACTCTCATGGGAGACTTCTATTCATTTAATTAATCAGCCATTCAGGAAAGGACATCGTGCCTAAATATATAATTCATTTAATATTCATAGTTGAAACTTATTATTAAATTATTAATATTTCAAATATAATAGTTGTTGTTTTGGTTCTTCCGAAGTCAGTCTGAGTCACTGAAAGCCACTAGTTTCCTTCGGAATAGGTTGATGTTAAATCAACCACTGTGGTCGGTTTATGACCAAGCTTATATTTTATTAAGCCATAAGATTTATCACGTGGCAACTTGCTAGTTTTGTTTTTTCTTTTTTCCCGGTCAAATGGCAAATTAATGTTTACCATATATACGGCAAATTAAATTTTAAAAAAATTGATGGAGAAGATCGAAACAATATGCAATAACATTAATGTTCCGGAAATGAACATTAATTGTCTAGCAGGATAAGCTAGTATTTGTATCTACGGAGCTTATGGTAAAGATGACAGTCAATGAGAAGTCATGCACCTTAGGCCAAAGTCCGATGGTATGAACAAGATGTGTGTGTGTGAGTCATCTGCGGTGGATAAGATGTGCTCTGAGCACAAGTATGTAGATTGTAGCCATAGTGGCCAGTCTAGTGAATACTAAGATAGGTAATCAGATGAGTTCTAAGATGAGTCATGAGATGATCCCCTTTGTTAGCTATAAGGGGTTATATATAGATGAATGTACTAGGAGATTCTGCCCCTAGTGGGTAGTTTGCAGGTGACTTAATGGCATAATGCAATGCTTAATGGGTAATTATTGGTAGTGGATGGAAGTTATGGGAGAGTGATGGAATGAGATTCTCCATGTAGAGGGAGAGAAAGTGGGTACCACATAAGTGGTCCATAACATAAGCTTCCCAACCTGGCATTGCGCATAATCGGAATGCCGGGGTAAAAGTAAAACCCCTGCCTATCAAATAATGTTTAGTGTTGTGAAAAAGGATATGAATGCCGGGAAAACCCAGCTTGCGAATGCTTCTGGGTTCCAAGTTGCTTTATCGTGTTGCTCGTTGGTTGTAGTCGTCTCTGGGTTTGTAATTGCTTCCGAGTTTGAAGCTAGAGGTGGTTTCTCAGATTTTTCATCCTAAACCTGCAATAAATAAAAACAATAATAGTTTATTGCGTACCTGAGTAGGATGTGAGAACCCTATACGATAATATCTTGTGCGCTGATTAGGATCATTCAGAATCAAATGTTCAACAATTTTTCCACTTCCAAGTATGAATTAAACGGGTGCCCAGTCTTTTAGTAAACCATTTTTATCCCGGAGGGCCGGTCTTCTTTTGGCGGCAAAGGACTTTGTTTTCCCGCTTCCGAGTAGGAATTGAACGGGTGCCCAAGAGGCCAATTCTAGCGGCAAGGGACTTTAGTTTTCCTGTTTCCAAGTAGGAATTGGACGGGTGCCCAAGAGGCCATTTCTGGCGGCAAGGGACTTTGTTTTCTCGCTTCCGAGTAGGAATTGAACGGGTGCCCAAGAGGCCAATTCTGGCAGCAAGGGACTTTAGTTTTCCCGTTTCCAAGTTGGAATTGGACGGGTGCCCAAGAGGCCATTTCTGGCGGCAAGGGAATTTGTTTTCTCGCTTCCGAGTAGGAATTGAACGGGTGCCCAAGAGGCCAATTCTGTCGGCAAGGGACTTTAGCTTTCCCGTTTCCGAGTAGGAATTGGACGGGTGCCCAAGAGGCCATTTCTGGCGGAAAAGGACTTTGTTTTCCCGCTTCCGAGTAGGAACTGAACGGGTGCCCAAGAGGCCAATTCTGGCGGCAAGGGACTTTAGTTTTTTTTCTTCCAAGTAGGAATTGGACAGGTGCCCAAGAGGCCATTTCTGGCAGCAAGGGACTTTGTTTTCCCGCTTTCGAGTAGGAATTGAACGGGTTCCCAAGAGGCCAATTCTGGCGGCAAGAGACTTTTATTTATAGCCGGATTATGATTGCTTCATTCGTGATTTATGATGTTGGTAGAATTAATAATTTAGTTAAGCGTAAAAGTTGTTTGTTGAATGAACTAAAATAGTAAGAATCTCTCGAATAAAAATTAATAAATATTGTAAATTATTTTGTCAAAAGTTCTGAAAAATATCTATCAATTTCCTATATAAAAATCACGTAATTTTTTAAAATCGTATTTCAAAATTTTCAATGTAAAATATTTTAAATTAGAGGCCAGTTATATTTATCGGTAAATATTACTATAATTATTATTATGGTCATGCCAATTTCAAATTAACTTTCCTCAATTGTGGTGATAAATATGTATAACTACTCCGTTCAAATTAATAAATTTTTTAAAGTATCATACATATAAAATAGAGTTGAGAGA